GGAGCTGGAATAGAACCATCGATGAACTTATGCTTGTTCTTCGATAATAATGTCATTTTCATGGATCTTGACCATGAGTGGTAATTGGAATCGGTGAGCACAAGTGAAACTAGAATTAACGAAGGATTTTCACTATCGTGCAAGAAGAATGGATTTGAAGGTTGATCTTCATATCCGGAGTAAGTAGTTGTAAAGTGATTCTATATCATTGATATGCACAACAAGAATCAAAGAAGAAAATGGAAACAAGGCTTCGTTTGTTTCTTGAGAAAAATAGAGAGGAAGGACAAAATTTGCTAAACAAATAGAGAGAAAGCAAAAAATTGCTTTGATACTATAACGGAATGTATTGTTAAACCGAAATTTTCAATTCTCATGTTATAGTGAAATCAACATCAATTTCATATATGCTAGGCACGTGTAATGCCAGCTGGAGAAACTAACCAACTAAAACTAACTAATTAATTTCGGTTACAACTAATTAATTGATCTAATACAAGATATTTTACAAATACAATATTTATATAGTATGCACGTACCACATATTTATCACTACTTGAAATACAAAGTATAAGCTACTACATATCGTATAAATATTGTATTTGTAAAATATCTTGTATTAGATCAGCTTAATTAGTTATAGTTGAAATTAGTTGATTAGTTTTTCTATATATGTGCCTAGCATGTATAAAATAGCCGTTGGCTTCACTGTAACAGTAGAATGGAAAATTTCAGTTAAACAAAAAATTCCATTATCAAAAATGGAAAACATATGGCTCTTGTTATTTTTCAAGACAAGATCTAAATAATTAAGGTCCAACAGGACAACACTCACTCCCACAAAATATCAATGTTGTTTGGGAAAAGACTAATTAGTGATCAGACAATTAGCTCTACGGTCGCAACTCTAGTGGGGATCACTTCAATGGGAAAGCAAGACGATAATCGTCTCATTTGTGTGGTAATGCAGGCAGGATTTCATTTCAATATAATATAAACTATCATTAATCAAATCAATATTATGATTTATATATTATGTGGCCATACATGTCTGGACTTTTTGCAAGAATCTTTTTTTATGAGTAACTGTAATAACTATAAAAGTTTGCTTTCGGTGTGAAATCCAAAAAATATGTTAAATCCTTCCCATGCTCCACTTTAAGGTAGAATGTTTCTGTAATTAATACTTGTCAAAAGAGCAATACGTACGTACTACAAAACATAGATACGTGTACAACCGCAATGTACATGCATCATCTGCAGGAGTAAATTTAATTAGGAATTTTCTTATAGGTTTTTTAATTATAAAGATTATCTATCTTCCTTATCTACTATTAGGCAAAGCCACCTATATCTATAATGGTGTATATAAATTTCATTTCTGCAATCTTTTTAAAATATTTGAATCTAGAATAACAATATCAGAAGTAAATTTAATTTCTTAAAGGCACCAGGTTGAAGATGACATGAAAAACATTTGATACCTATAATTGATTTCAACCTAAGCACCTCATAATTATTTTAGGGGTAAAATTTGTGATGGTAAGGGATTACGAACCCTTGACTCTGGTTAGTATTTGATCGAAAATTTATTTCAATTTTTTCAAAATTTAATCTATTGAATACGATCATAATAATGATTTTAAATTCCTCTTTAAAGTTAATTAATTTATTAGGTAAGATCCTAAGAATGAATTTAATTATATTACTCTAGAATCTTAATTTATTGATCATTAAGGTATATCATATAAAAAACTATTTCAACTCAAAAGATTAAATTTTTAAATAAGATTTCAGAAATAATTTTATATTACTCGTTTAACCAAGCAATAACGTTCAAATTAAATGATTCATAAAATGTGAATTTTTTTTTATCGATGTCTTCAACTAAATGGGAAATATTTTTGTAATTTTAATATACAGAGAAAGACGGTCATAAGGTAAAAAATAAATAAGTTTTACGGGCATTGAGAAGCTTAATATTGAATCAATAATATGAAATCAATTGGTTGCCAGCTTAATTATAAGATTAATGTATATGTGAGTCGTAGGAGATATGTCGTATAAATTGAAAAATAAGAAGAAAAATCACAAAACTCATAACACAAGGAGTCAAATAACTTCTTGATACAGATTTTCTCAACATATAAAAATATATAAAAGCAACCACTTTGATAATTTAAAAGTTGAAAGCAGATTTCGTGATTTTTTTTTTTTTTTCACAATTGACAAAACTTTCAGAACAGAAAAATGGCCTTTTTTAAAAGGCAAGGGAGAAAAATCATAGCAACTGCAATCACCAAGAAAGTTAACGCGGATTATCAAAATGATGATCGCTTTTCTTCATCATTTACAGGATCAAAGGGCAAAAGAAAAAGGCAAGAAATTTGAAGATTTTAGGCCCACTAAATTTTTTTTTATCTGAATCACTTTATTATTATTTGCAAATGTCGTGTTTCCTTTAGTTAGTTTTCTTGTTAAACTTTATGGAGTAATGGTAGCTAGCGGAAATGTAAGGGCATAGACAAAAAAATATTGAGGGAGTGATCATAATGACATTTGACGTAGAATTTGTTGACCGATTCATTTTGATAACAATGTTGAGGAAATTTGATGGGTTTCTAGAAAGTGAGAAAGGAATCGATCAGCTTGGACATATGCCTTTAGTTCAACAAGCAAATCTTGAATGTTGTGAGAGAAATCCTAGTAAAGAAGATCTTGAAAAAATCTACTACAATTCAAACTTATGGAAAAATAGCCATCAGTTTCCATGTTTATTTTTTTTTTTTTTTTAGTTATTATAAGAGGGCGAGAAGTTATTTCTCCAACTCATGAGTTCTGAGGACAACTTGTAATCTACTGGTAAAGCGACTTGTTATTGTTATTGTTTTTTGTTTTTCCTTCTTTTCTTTTTTCTCACATCAACGATTCGCATTCAAATCTCACGTCAATTTAGTTCATGTAAAAATTAGTTTATGAATTTTTTACTACCTAATTTGCCTTACTTTTTTCTCTTTTGAATTTTAATTCATGTAAAAATTAGTTTATGCGTTTTTAATTTTTAATTTGATCTTTTTTGATTTTTTTTTTTGTGAGATTTAATCCACACCACATATCACTCCTCTTTAAAAAATTTTAATTTTTAGTGTTTTGAATTGAAATTTTGTACACGTATTGAAAAACATTCAATATATTTTTTTGAAAGATCCCAAAATTTTTCAAGGTAAGAAAAAAAAATAATATTTTTTATTTTTTAAAATAAAAAATATAAAACAATTCAGAATTATTCTAATTTTTTTTTGAAGAGCACTAGATAAATCTAATCGAATGATTTTCATCATTGGACTACTTATTTGACTATAAATTTTTTTTAAAACTAAAATATGGACTAAATGTTAAAAAAAAAATTAGGAGAGATCAAATCCCAAATTAGAGATTCAGACATGATTTTTTTAAATAGATTAAAGTTAAAAAAAGTTTGACTCATTTAACTTAATTTTAATCATGTTAAACTTTGATGTATTAGACACTCAGACTTAAGTGGCAAGTGAATTTACTCTTTCTATCAATTTTTTTTTTTAAATACAAATCTCGACAAAAATTGTATTTCTAGGACTCATAGAAACCTAATTTTGGTTTTTTTTTTTAAAAAAATGCAAGAATACCCTAGTTGTTAAACGAAAAAAAGTTAATAATTCGGATTCCAATCCCTTGACTTGTCTTCCTTAGGGTGAATAAATGTTACTACTAGTAGTAGCAGTAGTAATTAATGAGAAATTTTATAATACATTAAGAGTAATTAGTAATATGTACAATAGTTACTTCATGAGTATATTTTGAGGAGAGAGATAGATACATAAAAAAATAGTAAAATTATATCTATATTCATAAAAAATGATAAGAAGATTTTCACATCTACTCAATTTTTTTTATTTTCTCTCTCATGTTTCTCTCTCTTCAAAGTGGGTCAATGGAGTAACTAATATACATGACACTAGTTACTCCTCGTGTATTATAAAATTACTCGTAATTAATCATATACTACCCTAATCTGGATGTGCAGTAACATGTTTTCTCCAAAAAAAAAAAAAAAAAAAAAACTTACTATATTGAAACACAACACTAATGAAACATTAATGTAGCCATTAAAATAGGAATCAATAATTAATTATGATGGGTTAAGACTAATATGAATTGCCAGCTCTCCCATCTCAAAACTCTGGTTAGATGCATGGAATGCATGTATGGTAGTAAGGATGGATGTACAGAAATAATGAATAGTTTGTAACGTTTAGATGTATGGGCATGGGAAGCAAATCTTAAAAGGTGATCAAGGCAGAAAATTGGCCTTTCTTTGCCCACCACCACTCCCCACCTGCCCAAGATATGGTAAGAGCCACATGATTTCACATTTGAGAGAAAAAGGCACCTCTGCTGACATCACCTGTATCTCTTGGAGGATTTTGATGGGTCCCATTTCCACCTCTCAATTCTTTTTTTTTTTTTTTTCATCTATAACTTCCTTGCCATCTTCCCACTTTTGTTCCCTCTCTTTATTTTATTTATATAGTCCTACTCCTCCTGTCTTATGATGTTCTATGTATTGGCTTGGTTTGGTTCATGTATAGTTTAATTAATCCCACCTCCCAATCTTCTACCCTCCTCGAACATTTCCCATATAGATTTTATTTGTTTATTTAATTCTTTTATATCCTTTTCTTTGCTGCATTGCTTGCCCTGTAATTCAATTCTAAAATCAACTTGGAAAATTTGCAAGATTTGAAAAGGAAATCTGGTCGGATCTTGCTTTGTGGGGTGTGTGGATTTTGTTGGAAAGGTCTCATTTCGTTACTACAAAATAGGCGTCTCCTCTTCTCCTCCCATTGCAGAAACAACACCACAAAAAACCAACCCACCTAAACAAAAAACAAAACCAACAATTTTCTTCTCTATATTATTGTGCTTTTGAGGTGATAATATTGGATCTGGAATTTGATGCAATGGCAATAACAGGAGATTCGCACTCGCAGTTTCATGTTTTAGCTGTTGATGACAGCTTAATAGATAGAAAGCTGATCGAGAGGCTTCTCAAGACATCATCCTATCAAGGTACTAAATTTACTTTCTTGGTTAAAAAAGAGGAGTTATTTTTATGACATGGGTATCTAACTGTCTTTTTTGTTTTTTAAGGTTGTAACTTTCTTTTTTTTTTTTGGTTGGTTGGTTGGGTTCTGATTGTTTTGCATTATGTTATGTTATGGCAGTTACTACAGTTGATTCTGGTAGTAAAGCTTTAAGATTTCTGGGATTAAATGAAGATGACCAAAGCAACCCAGATACAGTACCTTCTGTTTCTCTTAACAATCATCAGGTAAAGTTCCTTTCTTTTTTTATATTTCCTTTTCTGTTTTTTCTTTCTCAATGTTGGAGATTCCTCCTTGATAATTTTCTACCTTTTCTGGGTTTCTGATTTGTTTTCTTTGTTTTGTGGTGCTTTTGCAGGAAGTGGAAGTGAATCTTATTATTACCGATTACTGTATGCCTGGCATGACAGGCTATGATTTGCTCAAGAAAGTAAAGGTAAGCTTTTTCTATTCTCTTGTCTCCATTTTGAGTCGTCATATATTCCCTTCCCTTTTCTCAATCTTTCCCATTAAGATCCATTTCTATTACTGGCAAAATGTGTTCCTTCCAAATTCTTTCCCAGGCTGGAAATTTTCAGGATTAAAATGATTTAGTTTCTCAGGCGTCAACATGTGTACTATTATTGCCACTTGCTTGAGAATCTCAAAGAAAATCTTATTTAGAATATTTGCCACCTATTTTGCATCTAAACAAATCTAGGTCAAGATATTCAAAGATTTCCTTTGTTTCTTATGTGGTACCCTCTTCTGTCTTGTCAGCCATCCAAGATTTTTAATGCACATTTATTTTATTTTCCATGAAAACAAATGGTAGTTAAAGAGATTTTTTTATAGAAGTTTTTTTTTCCTCCTTTTCTTCTGATATGCAGGAGTCATCATCTCTCAGAAACATACCTGTAGTGATCATGTCATCAGAAAATGTTCCTTCAAGGATCACCAGGTAAAAAGACAAACTCAAGATAGAATTGGGTCCCTTTTTTTTTTTTTTTTTTTTCCCTTTAGTGGAAATTTTTGAAAAATCAACAATTTGATTATGTGATGTTATAGAACTGACTAATTGCCACAATTTAATTACAGATGTTTAGAGGAAGGAGCAGAGGAATTTTTCTTGAAGCCAGTACGACAAGCTGATTTGAATAGGCTTAAACCTCACTTGATGAAAACCAAAATTAAGAACCAAAAACCAGAAGGGCAAGAAGAGCTTGAAAAATCAAATATTCAACCAGAACAACCACCACAACCACCATCACCACATCCACAGCCAGATTCTCAACCATCACCACTACTACAACAACAACCCACCAATAACAAGAGGAAGGCCATGGAAGAAGGGCTTTCACCAGATAGAACTAGACCTAGATACAATGGCATCACTACTATGGTCTGATAAATCATGGGAACTTTTTTCTTACAATGTAATTCAGACAATCTCCTTTCCCCCTCTTTCTAGATGTTAATGCTCGTTAATACAGGCTCAATAGAAGTGTAGAATAGAGTTGCTTCTCTTGTATACAGTTTTTTACATGAAAATGTTTCATTCCAATTTTGTCTTTGCTAATTAAACTATGAAGGGAAAAAAAAATGATGACTTAGAAGCTCTGGGGTTGATCCAAGCAATGTTGTAAAATGTTATACGCGCTTGTAATTGTTCAACTCTAACCATCTCTGTATAAAAGTATCTTTGATGCGTTCTTATTTGAATTTTAGTAGTACAAGACTCAAGAAATTTTACAGTATTTTAAGATTAATTTTCGTATACTTGTAGCAGTTATTTTATGAGCTTATTTTTCTATATATATATATATATATATTCGAATTTATTAAAAATGATAAAAATGCTTCGACATTAACTTAATTTTTATTTCTTTTTATTTCTTTTGTTTGTATTTATTTTTTTGTTAAAAGAGTAAAAATTGATAGTTACTTTATAAATAATATAAAAATTTTCAGACAAAACTAATTAAAGATTATACAGTTCGGAAAGTGAAATAAATTTGTTTGCTGTTGATTCAACCATTTGTGGACCATGTTGGCTAAACCTGTTCTTTGCACTATTTATGCTTTTATAAAATTTTCAAATAATTTTTTTATTTTCGATTTAATCAATTAGACATGTATTTTTAATTTCAATCAAATTGAATATGATTTAAAAAGAATGATAACTTTTATTTCTAAAATTCAAATAAAAAAAAACCGTAACTGTATAAAATGGGATCTATATATAGTATTTTTTTTATACAAATATATATTATATTTTTATTCGATTTAATGTATAAAAGTTATTAATTTTACAAAATTGTATTCAAATAATTAAAATTAAAAATATAAGAAATTATCTATGGATTTATTAAAATACAAGGTGTGAATACTGGATTTAACCGAACATGTTAATCTGTTATGAATGCTGACCGGTTAGATTGTTCCCCTGCGTGTGAAAAGAAAAACTGACTTCAAAGAAAAGTGGTCATTGTTTTTGTTGGCATAATCTCTGAACTGTCTTCTTCTATCATCAATGCATTCTTCATGTGACTGAGACTGAATTTCATGGGGAAACTGATCGGCAGGTGAGGCCCATATTAGTTGCTGAAACATGTGTCTTCCCTTCCTACCTGTCTGTTTCTGGATCTCTGCCCTAACTTCTCGTATATGTTTCAATTTCTATCTTACCGAACTGATACGCTTATCATTTCACTCTCCTAAATCATAGCTGTAAATAATGAAAAAACAATTACGGTCATCATAGTAAATTATGACTTATTATAATATTAAAATAATGATAACAGATTATAACGATAACAATATGTTTTAAAACCATGACATAACAACCGTTATATAACATAACGATCGTTATTTAAAATTATTTCTCATATCCCATGTTTTCTGAGTGTGGTAGAAGAGCAGAGCTCACCTCCCTAATGCTATGTTCCCTTTCAAACATCATTATAAAAAAGGTTTTAATGTAATGGTAGAAAGAGGGTTTCTTATATCATTTTCAGGTTTCTTAACAAGTTCTATGATTTCCCAAGTTCATCTCCCTTGAACAGATTTTCACAGTTCATTAACTTCGACTTGCTAATCCCCCCACTTTCTTGTATTCCATTCCCCTCACCAGTCTTAGCATTTCATGGTGATCAACAAATGTACAGAGTGACTTAAGCTTTGTTGTTCTTAAGGAAACATATAAATTAGCCCTCATGATATTTGATTCCTATGTTTTCCAATCCGTCTGTATCTTAATCCTTTTTACGCATTTCATGTCCTTTCCCAGGTTATTTTGTTTTCTTTTAACAAAAATAGAAAAAGGAAAAAAAGTAGAAAAGGCCTAAGGGGAAGATTGATGAGAAAGTAAGTCATTTTTTCAGACTGAGAGCGCAGCAAATCAAAGGTTCTTATCAAGGCAGAGAGTCAATCTGCACCATTATGGTCTTACATTTTCCCAAAAAAAGAAAAAAAAAAAAAGAAAAATCTCTGACGTCAAGAAACAGAGATAAAAGAATTATAGCAAATTCAGAATCTCATTAGAAAATGAAAAAGCCCAACTTTACATAGTGCAAAAGACCAATCAACAAGCTTATCATCACACCAACGTGCAAATATATGCTTCTTCAACCACCTAGATATATAGTATAACTTATTACCATGAATTCTCATGGCACTGACAAACGGTAATCTGTTGCATTATTCTGAACCTTTTTTCCACCCTAAACAATCCCTAATGTCAAGAGTCATCACTACATACTGTAGTCAGCGAAATTTTACACATGCCGATCAATATCTCCTGTGGGTTCTACATCTGAAGCTTCTCCCACGCTAAATTGCTATTTACAAACCTGTCCTAGGGATGCAGTTGGACCTGCAATAACAAAGCTGAAAAAGGGGAAAAAAAATGAAAAAGCAAAGTACTACCTGATGTAACAAATTAAATAGAAAAGGCAAAGATGTGACTCTACGCATGAAGTATCTCCACTTTTCCGCGTTTGCAAAAAAGCCGGTGGGAATTCCCTTTTCTTTCAGAAAATTACAAAAACCAAAAGTAGAAGTAAACATATAAAAAACCAAACAAATATGGCACGAAGAAGGTGCTAACACACAATTTCTAGCAGTCTCAGAACTTAATTCTGATGTAGGCAGAGGTGAATCGCAGCATATACTTAGCTATTGGTTACTGGTACAGATAACCATCTACTAAACAATACCAGCACGAACGACTCAACAAATAACCTAAAAATTAGCACAAAGAACTCACCACCGAAATTCTAAGGCTATTTACTTCCAAAATCCTCATAACTCATGCCTTCTGATATAGTGTCCAGCCTTCTGTTGTCTCCTGCAAGATCATGGCACTGCATTAGCTTCCTTCTTTCTGACGTAACAAATATTATGAAGTTTTAAAAAAAAAAAAAAAAAACCTGGATGTTCTCTTTCTCTAGAATCTGGGAAGTTATCATTGTCTGCTGCTAGAAAGGGTGATCTTGGGTAGTTCTCCAATATTTCTGAAAAAAAGAAAATGTAAATGTAACATTTGTAAATTGGCTAGTCAATGTTCCACGCAAAATTACATGTACAGAGGACCCAAGTTAAGAGCTGGCTCCACCAAATTACTTAATGACCCAACCTGAGTGCTCTCCTGAACAGATTATAATCATGTCTACAGAAAAGCTTGACGCCTAACCTTTCAGTTGAGCAACAAGCAGCTAAAATAGCAATCATTATGTAAAAGAAGGGTGCTAAAGAGGACGTTGGGGATTGATGAATAAAGAGATGGAGATAAGAGGGGAAAAGTGGGGAGACAAACCTGAACTCTGGGTAAAATCAGCTGTCAGATCTGAGAGACTGAAACTTCGAGGAATCTGACTCAAAAATCCAAATGAAGAAGTGTCTGCATCCAGAATAGACTCATTCAAGGCTTGCGAACTGGACTCTACGCTACTGAAAGATGCAACAGATGCATCCGCGATTGATGGGCGTGTGTCTAGGACATTGCCATCAGCACCAAACATGTAAGGGGAAGTACCCGAATAACCACCTTCTGATTTGATAATTCCCCCATTCATTCCTTGCAGTAGACCCATGTTTGAGCCCTGCATTGAAAGCATGTTTGGAGGTGCATCGATTCTATTAGCATGAGCAGCTATTTCAACAGCAGCATGCATATTTGAGTGCAAAGATGATCCACCATTAGTGTATGCATTGGTCAAACTGGAACCAAGGGGATGATGCATGCTCTCTGGCTTCAAGGCTGGTCCTGTATGATTTGGAGCATAGCATGCTCTATTCTGGTGCACTGTCAAAGAAACCAAAATCAGTTGCCAAAAAAGAGGGAATCATACAAGGCATAACATGTTAGGAGAATGCATGCTCTACTGAGAAACTACAGAAAAGATTCAACCAAATTATCCTAGTAAATGCATTGGCATCATTTTGATTGGGACATTCAGATAACATAGATTCAGCAATCAATTAGTCACATGTCAAGAACCATCTAAAACACAAGCATGCTTAAAGCAAATATCCAAAAATGACTTCCGAAACATCAAAATCAAATTCAAAAAAGGAAAGGAAATTGTGTTATTATCACGTCATATTAAGCAAACCTTTGCAAAATAATGGATTCCACAAATACAAATCGATTGAGAGAGTTTTTTTAAATCTATTTTTAAGGCAAAAATCAAGGAAACCATGTTAACATCTTTTCACTAAAAAAAAAAAAAAATCTAATACCTCCAACTCTTCCCACAAGTCGCCTCCCATATTCTACAAAATCATTTGAGAAAGGGGAAAATGACCAGTATCAAGTCTGACAAAGAGAGTTAAGTTGCTGCCAACCAGTTATTAATATATTGTATCACTATTACTTGGGAAACTTCAAAGATATGCATCATTACTTAATATCAGGTGTGGATTTTAATACAAAACCCCACAGAGGCCCACCATTTCTCTTCTCTCTTTTACTCTCACTTGTAGAACTTTGCTTTTTTTCCAACCAAGCAGTCTTTCTGGAAGACAATGATTATGAAATCAAATCATAACAATTAGGAAGCACAACTGCAAAGCTGATTCCCAATTAGGCAGTGTTATGTACAGTAATTTTGATAAGCCAATACCAATAGATCACACAGTAAAAATATTCAAGGGGAAGAAAAGCAGTCTTACATGGTGGGATATGAGATCCATTAGAAGTAGGCATTGAAGCAACTCCAGTTGAATTTAGATCACGCATCAAGTGCGCCTGCTGCACAAGAAGCTTGTTGAATTCCTCTATTTGTTGCTTTACCTTCAACCTCAGATAATAAGCCCTGAAGAATTCCCGATTCTCTTCTTCAAGCTTTTGCCAAACTGGAACACAAATTTACAAGTTTGTGAATAAAATAAGATCACCTAACTTGAAGTTGTTCCCGTGCTTACAACTATTGGTTTTAGAAGTACGTGAAAATGGACAAAAGAGGAAAAGGAAAGGAACCATAATTGATGGGCCACTGCAAGTTTAATTTTTGCAGAAAGAACAGATTCGAGCCACTATTTACAATGAAAGTTTGAGTTAGCCCTAGAACTTCTTATTTAACACCGATAATTCCTAGATGTAATAACTGACTTAAATAAGTTTAAGTGAATGCTCCCACAATATCAATCAAGATGGCCAAACTAAGATTTAGTCCCAAATTTTCAACTTGTTCCTTTTCCAGTTCTTGTGAATTTATTTCACGTGATTAAGAACTTGAATTTATTTTACATTCCATTCAGAGACCAAAGCTAGAACAATTGAGGAATTCACCAATGGGTGCGACACTTCCCATCCAGAAAAACTAACTGATGATGCCTAAATGTTCCTTTCATTAACTGATGGTCTCTTGAAATATCTTGAGAAATGCAAAGCACCAACTTGTGGTTTGGCTACTTTTCATTTTAGAATGTTGTAAATATAGTAAGTAGATATTTACATTTTGCAACTATAGTAAATAAATATATAATTATAGGAGTATCCTAAATAGGGAAGCTGTGTAGATATACATATATGTACTGATCTCTTCTATAAAGAAATACAAGAGAATTCAGTTTCATCTTTATTTACATGGTATCAGAGCCGCTGCCGCGGTTGTCCTAGTGAGCTACCATACATTTTTTTTTCTGTTAGCTGCTGCCCTAGTGAGCCGCCGCCACCTTGTTGCCCTACTTTCTTCCTTTTTTTAATGGGTAACGAAACAGAGAAGAAAACTATGATCTCTGATATTGTTACTATAACAACAAAGATTTTAGAACATAAACTCAATGGACGAAATTTTTTAGATTGGAGTAAAACAATGCGGGTGTATCTCCAGGGTATTGATCAAGACGATCATCTTACTCATGATCCCCCAACTGATGATTTGAGAAAGAAGGCTTGGTTGAAAGCAGATGCCAAAATATATTATAGATTCAAACTCTATTAGCAGTGAGGTAATTGATATGGTTAGTCATTGTGACTTTGTTTAAGATCTAATGAATTATTTGGCATTTTTATATTTTGGTGAGGGTAATATTTTTCATATTTATGATGTATGTAAGAAGATCTATTGTCCAGAAAAGCAACAAAACCCTTATTGAGTATTTCAAGAATTTCAAATGGGTTTATGAGGAGTTGAATTCTCTCCTTCCCTTTGGTACTGATGTGAAGGCTCAACAGTCTAAACATGAGCAGATGGCTATCATGAGTTTTCTTGCAGGTCTACCACTCGAATTTGATGCTGCTCGCACACAAATCCTTTTTAGTCTAGAAGTTGTCTCTCTTCATGACACCTTCACTAGAATATTATGCATAGAGACATGTCAGCCTTCTTTTGGTATTACTAGTGCCTTTGTGAGCCGAGGTAGTTAGAATGAAAGAGGTCAAGGAGGCCGACATGGCAGAGGTGGTCAACATAATTCTAGTTTTCAAGGTGTTAGGAGTGATAATTATGGAGGAAATGGCAATCGTGGATAGAATGATCAAAACAGACCAATAACATGTTATTTTTGTGAAGAACCTGGTCATACAAGACGTACATGTTGGAAACTTCATGGAAACCTCCAAATTCAGTTCATGTTGCAAACCTTGCAACCCAAGAGACTAATCATGCCTCTTCCTCATCTGAGAAGTCTATAATGGTGTCTCTTGATATCTTTGCTTAATTTACTAGGTATCAATCCTCGCTAACGTCTTCTAACCCACCTACCGCTACCATTGATGATATAGGTAAACCCATTACATGCCTTGTGTCATCCTCTTCGAAATGGGTCATTAACTCAGATGCTACAGATCACATAACAAGTAATACAGATATCCTCCCCTCCTTTGTTTCACACAAAAATCTTCCTAGTGTCACTTTGGTTGATGGTTCAACCACATCGGTTATAGGAATTGGAACAGCTCTTCCTACATCATCTCTCTTTGTCTTCTGTCTTATGTTTACCTAATTTTTCATTTAATCTAGTCACAATCAGTAAAATCACTTGGGCTCTCAATTGTTGTCTCATTTTTTTCCTGACCATTGTGGATTTCAGAATCTTACGTTGAGGAAGATTATTGGTAGAGGATGTGAGTTTGGAGGGCTGTATCGTCTTCAACTTATACCACAACCTATCGCTTGGGCTCACAATCAGTAAAATCACTTGGGCTCTCAATTGTTGTCTCATTTTTTTCCTAACCATTGTGTATTTCAGAATCATACGTCAAGGAAGATTATTGGTAGAGGATGTGAGTTTGGAGGGCTGTATCATCTTTAACTTATATCACAACCTATCGCTTGTTCCAGTATTATCACACCTCTTGAGTTACATTGTCAATTGGGGCATCCTTCTTTGTTTGTTTTAAAAAAATTGTTTCCTTAGTTTTAGAATTTTTCTTCTTTAGAATGTGAATCAAGTTAGTTTGCTAAACACCATGTTGTATTTTCCTAGGGTCAATAAATGGGTTATGTCACCTTTTGAATTAGTTCATTCTAATGTTTGATGTCCTTGTCCAATGACTTCTACAACTGGTTTTTGGTATTTTGTCACATTTATTGATGACTATTCTCGTATTACTTGGTTATATTTAATGAAAAATCGATCTAAATTGTTCTCTATATTTTGTGTTTTTTGTGTTGAAATTCAAACTCAATTTAATGTTTCAATTCGTGTTTTAAGGAGTAATAATGCAAGAGTATTTTTCCAAGTTTTTCAATACTTTTATGACATAAAATGGAATTTTACATCAATCATCAAGTGTTGACACACTGCCTTAAAATGGTGTTGCTGAACGAAAGAACGAACACTTTCTAGAGATTGCTAGAGCCCTTCTTTACTAGATGATAATTCCTAAACAATTCTGCGCTGATGCTGTCTACAGTTTTTCTTAATCAATCGGTTGCCCTTCTCTATTCTTTCTAGTGATACTCCTCATTCTGTTTTATTCCCTTCTTAGTACTTATTTTCGATAGAACCACACGTCTTTCGTTGTACGTATTTTGTTCATGATGTTAATTCCAAAGTGCTAAGTTAGATCCTAAATCTCTCAAATGTGTCTTCTAGGAGTATTCTTGTTTTCAGAAAGGTTACAAGCATTATTCACCTACTTTAGGTCGTTATTTGATTTTTGCTGATGCAATATTTTTTTAGACTACATTTTTTCATTAACCTACTACATATCATTGTGAGGGGGAGGGAGATGATATTCTAAGATATATTGTGACTACAATTACTGAATCTTATATAGCCATTACGCCACCTATCACCCAAGTTTATTCTCACCGTACTCATCCACGAGACCTATAACAAAATCAAGACTCGCATCCTCTGCCAATTCTTCCCTCTACAGATCCCAGTCTTGCTCTTCCAATTGTTCTTCATAAAGGTAAACGACAATGTTCTCATCCTATCTCTTCGTTTGCTTCTTATGACCACTTGTCTCCTTCTTTGAGTTGTTTTATTGCTTCGTTAGATTTGGTGTCCAGACCTAAAACATTATATGAGGCCTTATCCCATCTTGGTTGACGAACTGCTATGGTAGAGGAAATGATGGCTTTAGATGATAATGATACTTGGGAATTGATGCATCTTCCAATAGAGAAACAGCCTATTGGTTGTAAATGGGTGTATGTTGTCAAAGTTAATCCCAAGGGTTCTGTAGCTCGTCTCAAAGCTCAATTAGTTGTGAAAGGGTATGCCCAGACATATGGTATAGAATATTCTTATACTTTTTCTTCGATTGCCAAACTTGCATTTGCCCGTTTGTTTATATCTCTTGTTGCTACTAATGATTGACCCTTACATCAACTAGATGTCAAAAATGCTTTCCTTCATGGTGATTTGCAGGAGGAAGTGTATATGGAGCAACAACCTGGGTTTGTTGCTCAGGCGGAGTATGGGAAATTTTGTAAACTTTGGAAGTCTTTGTATGGGTTAAAGTAGAGTCCTCGTGCTTGGTTTGGGTGTTTCAGTGTAGTAGTTCAAGAATTTGGCATGAAAAAGAGTAATTGTGACTATACTATTTTCTACCAATAGTAAAAAACTGACATTATCTTGGTAATTGTATATATTGATGATATTGTGATTACTGGTAGTGATGATGCTGATATTTTAACCCTTAAGTCTTTTCATCATACCAAATTCCAAACAAAAGACTTAGGTTTATTGAAGTATTTCTTGGGTAAAATATTTTTCTTTCTCAAAGAAAGCATATTCTTGATCTATTGAAAGAAACTGAAAAATTAGGAGCTAAACCTTCTAGTGCACCAATGGTTAATAATCAACAACTTACAACAAATGGTGTGGAGTTATTTGCTGATCATGAGAGATATCTCAGGTTAGTTGGAAAACTAAATTATCTCACAGTAACTCATCCTGACATCGCATATCCTTTTAGCATTGTTAGTCAATTTATGTCCTTTCCTCGAGTTACTCATTGGGCAGCATTAGAACAGATCTTCTGTTATCTCAAAGGTGCTTTAGGGCGTGGTTTATTCTATAGTAATCATGCTCATTCCAGTATTGAATGTTTCTCAAATGCATATTGGATTGGATTTAAAATTGACAGAAGATCTACTACAGGGTATTGTGTTTTTATGGGTGGAAATTTAGTGTTATGGAAAAGCAAGAAGCAGAATGTTAGTCAGTTTATGTTTTTTTCTCGAGTTACTCATTGGGTAACATTAGAACAGATCTTATGTTATCTCAAAGGCGTTCTAGGGTGTGGTTTACTCTATAGTAATCATGCTCATTCCAGTATTGAATGTTTCTCAAATGCAGATTGGGTTGGATCTAAAATTGACACAAGATCTACTACAGGGTATTGTGCCTTTATTGGTGGAAATTTAGTGTTATGGAAAAGCAAAAAGCAAAATGTTGTTTCTCAATCTAGTGCAGAATCGGAGTTTAAAGCTATGGTACAATCCACATGTGAACTTGTGTGGATATCTCAATTGTTAAATAAGACTGGTCTTGAAAATTCCCTTCCTATAAAATTGTAGTGTGATAATCAAGCTGCTCTTCATATCGCATCAAATCCATTTTTTCATAAAAGAACTAAGCACATCAAGATCGATTATTACTTTACCCATGAGAAAATTCAGCAAAGATTGATCTCTACAAACCATATCAAAATTGGATAACAACTAGGTGACATCTTTACAAACGCTTTAGGTCCTAGAATTGATTATATTTGTAACAAGTTGGGCATGATTAACATCTATGCTCCAACTTGAGGGAAGTGTTGTAAATATAGCAAGTAGATATTTACATATTGTAACTATAGTAAGTAAATACATAATTACAGGAGTAATCATAGGAGTATCCTAAATAG